GCAATCAAGCCAGAAGCCAGGCTGGTGTTCACCAGAGTAGCTTTGTTGATGTTTCGGAATAAGATGAAAGCAGCGTCAGTCATTACTGAGCCCAGTTGCACTGACTTTGTTCAAGCCCCTGAGATAGAAGGTTCCTAGTAATATTACAGAGATTTTGCTATGAAATTTCTTTGGAATGGGAATATAATCTTTCAATTAGATGCTTTTCTTTGATCTTGCATCTCAGTTGCTTTATGTGTTTGGGACTAGTCTATTTTGGGGAAAACACGGTGTGCTTCCACTTCTCCCTGCTCCAAGAGTCTTCTGGTAATGGAGAGAAGAGTCAACTACTGAGTCACCAGCAACTGGTCTTCTCTGTGGTGGTTTCTCATCAAGTACTGGTTTAGCTCAGTTGTGCTTGACTTTGTATTTTATTCTCTTCCTCCAAATTAAGTTACCTGTGCACACTACCTCAACTGATTTATGCAGATAACATGGATTTGGCAGGAAAATGCATCCGTGTTTTACGATACGACCGATTTAACTCGCTTTCAGTGTTTCACAATACTGAAGGAGCTCTTGAATTACTATTGAACGCAGGCACAAACTTCACAAACTTACCTTTTTTTTGCAAACTTCTGATAATTACTGAGGTAAAATGAGTCGGTAGTTCAGCGTTTTGCAGAATACAGGTTCAAGATCCTTTTTATTAATGAAATCCGTAAAACCCAATGACAAATCATAAAGCATGATGTGCTGCAAACTTATAGTAAGCAGGCAGTCAATATCATGCACGCAGTGAAATAAGATTTATGCAGAAATATGGTAACTCCCATGTTCAAAAAAGCTTTCCCTCCCCCCTGCTTTTGACCATGGAGAACGTCGTGATTCTTTGCTTTTAAAAGTGCTCTACTTTTCATTAATATTCAGAAATTTAATTTTGCTTAGTTTTCCTTACTTATTTTGTTTGATATTGCTGTTGGCATAGAAAGGATTTGATGTTTAAGTAAAAAGGACGTTGCCTATGATGCCCCTAGTAATTGCACTTCTTACTAGAGACAATGGGGATGCAGCAGAGTAAGGAGATCAGGTCTCCTTAAGTCAGAGGACACACTGGCATTATGATTTGTGAAGCACCCCCAGTCATGGTCCCCAGGGCAGAGAATGATTTCAGAAATAAATTCACAATGAGAACCATGTGACTATGCTTGCAAGACCTGCCACCAAACAGCAAAAAAGGAAAGAAGCTTCTAAAACCCAGGGGGAAATGGCCTAAATTTGGATCTATTTCAGGTCTTAATTATTTATATTTGTTTTCCTTTGTTGAAAGAAAACATTGATACACGTGGGGGAAGAGAGGATGTATGCTGAAGATTGTCTGAGCGTGTAATTGTTACCAGAGAAGTGATGTTCAAATAAAAACCTGCCAACTCAAGTCTTGAAGAACTTGGTAGAAACAGCCGGAGCCTTCACCATACAGAACTTTAGACCATTTGGAGAAATACAGTGTCAATTAGAAATTTTATAAACAGCTAGTGAAAATGATGAATAATCTTTCCAGAGTAGCTCATGATCCTGCCATAGAAGCACTCCAGTTAATTTTAAATTGTAATTCCCAACTAGGGAAAAAAAACCCGGTAATGTCTTTTATCTCCTGCTGTGGCTGTTATGAGCATGTAATGGAGTTGTTAACAGGGCAGCCTGTGGATCTATTACAATAATTTTTATACCAAATGCAGCACAGGCTTTTCCTGTACAGGATGTCATAAAAACAGCAAGAGATTTAATCAGGTATGTTAATGCCTTCAGCATACCTTCCTGAAATTATCCTTCTCTTGCTTTTAATTTTTAGGTCTTCTTCCAGCAGTTGATGTCTTCATATTGGTACTGCTTTGTGTAATCTTAACAAATAAGACTTGATATAGGAGAAAATAAATGTATAATTTATAGCATTAGATGCTCTTGGAGAAAATAACTTAGATAATTAAATCACAGCTCATCAACTTCTAAGGTCCTGCTGTCATAATGAGAGACATCACTGTTCTTGCTGCTGATAGCTGTGCTTCTTAGATATGAGACCAGTACTGACGTGCCAGCAAAGCAGTTTGGGAGCATACACTATTTTATTTCGGGTAAAATCAACTCAATCCACTGATTAAATTATTTATGCCAGCCCGTGTCATTTTGCATGGTATTAAAGAGAGATTTTTACAAAGAACATGTAAAGTCTCACTGCCTCCCAAATTTCTAGGAATCAACAGCAAGCAACAGTTTGGCTGGTGGATTGAAGCCTGTTTTGCAGAGCACGCTTGGTGGGGAGAAGTACTTTCTTGTCTCTCTTGCCTGTCTGTTCTCACATTTGCAGCAATTAATGCCTCAACTCTGCTGCACATCAGCTGGCCTCATTTGACTCTCCCTTCTGGGTCACAGGTATCCGATGTGGTCCAATGCCACATGCAGTAATTTTTGTTGTTTCAGATCTGTAATTACAGGGCTATGTGACTTCTGCCTGGTTTGTGCTGAATGAAAGGCAGCTGCTGCTGGCACTCATTTCAGACAGGTCTGTAGATCAAAGATACGCTGGCACCTTCTACATTAGCAGTCAGTATCCAGTGACACAGGAACTTCGTGTGTCACGGACCGGCTTCCAAGTGGCTCCTTTGTAGTGTGCTGTAAGTGAACCAGCGATGCTCCGAACTCCCGTCGTCTCATCCCTCATGACCAATCAGGGAGTTCATTATCGCAGGCAGAGCCTGCCCTGCCCTGCGCTCGCACTGTCACTGTCACTCCCAGCTGGTTCCGTAGCACCGAGTGCTGCTGCTGCTGCCACCGCTGGATGTTGGTGCGGAAGAGCTGAGCATACAAATGACTATGTCAGAAAACACAAGAGATTTAGCAGAAAGGTAAGGAGCAGCACAGAGCATTTTCCATTTGGCTTAGAGGCAGTTCTCATCTTGCTTTTGAAAGCAGGAGAGAATCTGCAGCCCATCGAAGCATGACTAATCAGTTTGCTAAAATGCTTGGCACTCTCTAGCTTAAAATATTTCTTCCCTCTTGTTAACAGCAGCAAATGAAGCTTTGTAGCATTTATTGTACAAATAAGTGTATATTCTGTTCGAGTCTTAAGCCCTTTCCTTGGGAACTACATCAAACATCAGGTTTCTTTGGAGCATGAGGGAAGTGTGCAACTTGTATTTTTGCTGTTGTGTGGAACTTGTATTTTTGCTGCTGCTGGGGATGGCAGAAAAGATACCAAGCAATTCATACATCTTATTTGTGCTTTGAGCTTCAGCAGTGGTTTTTTTCTTTGTCATCCTTCTGTTTCAAAGGAATATTTTGAAAAGGTTTATTTGTATCGAATGGGGCAATTCTCCTGCATGACAAGAAACAAACAAAAAACATAGGCAAAATGTTACTAGTCTAAATATTTTAGAACAGATGAGAATATATTTTTATATAGTGTTAAATATGCTGTTTGGTTCAGGGACACAGGTTTTAAAAAGGCAGGTAAGAATTGTAATACATGTGAACAATAATTGTCAGAGTTTTAATTATTACAGTAAGTAAGGCTCAGAATAGTTATTCAGACATGATATTGCATATTATATGAGATGGATGCCAAGACTTGGTTAATCAATGTTTGGAAAGCACTTGGAGAGTCTCTTGGGTGCAGAAGGATTTGCAGTGTATCTGAAGTGTGATGATAACAGCCACTATGAACAGTGTCATCTAATGTTTCTCTCAGATTTCTAATCCTGTTTTTCATGTATTTAACTGCATTCTTTTTTTCTTTGCAGTCATTATTCTTAAAAGCAAAAACAAACCTCTGCTGCAGTCATTGTGTTTTACTGATGCTGTCTGTTCTGTGCTCCCCTGTCTTCTCCTGAGGACTCTCCAGGACTTTGCTTTCTGTCTTTCCTTTCAGCAGGCTATGTGTTGTGACATTTTTTAAGGAAGTAACTTGGTTTCTAAGTCACAAGATGGATCACATCAGTTAGAGCTGTTTGGAATCAGGAACATGATGAGGATTTGTTTGTATTTTGTTGAGGGAGCTTTTTTGAACAGACTTGTATACAACGCATTAGTGCAGTTCAGCTCTTTGATCGTTAGATGCAGATGTTTGAACTGTCCTAATGGCCAGGTTACCTTAACTTTGTTAGTGCAAGGCCTTACTGTTTCTTCTGTGGATTCTTTTTGTCCAGCAGTTCTGGTGGTGATGAACTTGGGCCAAACTTATTCAGCTGGTCTGTATTATCCTGTTGCCAGTAACCCAAAGACCAGCTGAGAACCCTTGTGACAGGTCAGGCTGACATCTGAATGTTGTAAGGGAGAAAAGTACGGCCAGAGCGAGCCACTGAGTAATCTTCTGACTTTGAGATGCAGCAGCAGTTTTTTTGTTTGAGCATGGTAGCACTTCTTAGGGACGGTGATGTTCCCAGGAGTGTGCACAATGTGAAATTTTAACTCACCTGTGAGTCTGTAGCAGTATTATCCTGGTCAGGAGCCAAACTGAAAGTGAGCTGGGCTAAAGCAGATGTTCCAGCAGCAATCCGTATAATAACCTGATGTGGTTTGGCAATGTCTCGTCCTTAAAGTGACATCATGATCGCAATGTCACTAGCCTGTAGTCTCTGTCAGCCTTACACACAGTCAGATGTGCATTGTCACCCAGTGCTTCTGTGTTCCAGATACCCAGGTTCATCAAATTTCCACATTCCCACGTGGTGAATTCTGCATGTCCAGGTTTTTATTTTCAGCACATGCACTTTAGTGTCTTTTCAGAAAGTACAAAGCTTGAATTGCTTCCCACATGTCACAGTGTAAGAGCATAGTTAAAATAACCCAACACAAACATAATGGAAGACACTTTGAGTTTTTGCAATCACTAGAGATGGGATAGCAGATTATACATGGGAATAAGGCTAGAACTGACGATGGGGAGTGCAAATGTAGCAGTAATGCGCCAGTAGAATGAGAAGAGATGTGCTGAGTTTATTCTCTCTTCTTTGGGCAGGTCACCTACATCGGACCTCAACACAGCATTGCATGAGTGTATGGCAGCTCTGGATTTATTTCTTAACAACAAGTTCTCGGATGCTCTGGCTTCTTTACAAGCGAAGTAAGTTTATTACTTTTACTATTTTTTCCTCTGTTTATTTTCAGATTTTTAGATTTATTTTTAGATTGTGCTTTACCATCTCTCAGGAGAATTCACTAGACAGCTAGTTCTCTGTTAATATTTGGTAAGACTGCATGGTTTTGGTTCAGAAGGAGTTGGAAAGTTAACGTGTCAAGTTTTGGGGAAGACAGAATTAAGTGCTTTACACTTGGGTGAGTAAATAACAAGATTGACAAAGGTAACCACAAAAAGTACAGAGTTGTTGTCCAAAGTAGTGACCCCTCAGCTGTAGTACAGTATATGAGATTCTTGCTCCTGGAAGAAAAAAATCATCTTCTGACACTTTTTTTTTCCCCTCCTTTCCCATATTTTTCTGCATACTGTGAGAATTCGAGGATTTGTAGTTTTGTGTCTAAATGGGCAACTGACCCTGAATTGCCAGGTTTAGGTCACATTACTTTAGGCATGAATTTTTAATTTTTTTTTTTAATAACCACTTGCAGAAACTTTCTCACAGCTTATTTTGCAATTCAGTGTTGTGGTCACGCACTCTCTTTCCTAATTACATTGCAGCCCAGCATGTCATGAGTGGCCCAGCTGCAAGCAGGGAGGTCATAAAATAGCTTCTAAAAATTGTTGCGTCTTTACAGTGTCTGTGATTTTTCATACCCTGTCCTGAAGTTACTTGTGCTCTTGGCTTGTTGAAGTCTGTGGCTAATTCACATTTTCCCCTCCCACTTTGCTCCATTTATTTTTGAGCCATCAGCAAATTACTTCATGCCTTCTTTCAGGCTACTGGAATATGAAACAAGTAAAATTCATAGGTAATGCAGTAGCATGTGTTTGATATGCATCGGGGTAACTATAGTGAATATTACATGTCTGCTGTGCTGAGGTATCAGCCTCAATCTTTGATGCCAGAACCTGTAGCTTAACTGTGCAGAGTATACTCAGTGAAAGACATTTGTGATAAATTGTGGGCTCAGATGTATTAATAATACTGGTTTTATTCACAGCAGTGTTGTTTTGTGTTTATATATCCATCAGAAGATATCATAAAAATAGTAAGAAGAATAACTGTGTTTTCATTAAATTCTGACAGTAAAGCCCCTGTGCCCATCTGGAAACGCTTACTCAGTGCTCAGCATAAAATAGAGAGATATTTTACTGAAGAGGGTTTCCAAAACACTGCAAAAGCTAGTGAGGCTGTGGGTTGGGTTTTTTTCTGCAAATCCTTTTTTCTTCTGTTGCATATGGTTTTCATTCAGCTTTTGTTGGGCCCTGCAGAATATATTTCATGAGCTGTTTTTGTACCTGACTGTATTCCACACTGCAAAATCATTTTGAAACGATTTTTTCGTGTTAACCTGTTGTTATGAGGAGGCCCTTATTCATTTTGCCTTTGGCAGTAAGAGAAATACGGACTTATGATCTTTGTGAGTGTCGTGCAGAAACAGGATGCTAAATTTCCCCACAGATGATACCCATTATGGACACACTCTATCTCTTTAGGGAATGACAAGAGCTGTAGAGTGGGTACATGTGGTAATACTGCGGATTTTCTTTAGGAGTCATCAGTTCCTCACTGTTGCCTTTTAGCGTGCTGAGATTTGAAATTGGTTTTCACAATCCATAAACATACTATCTTTGTTTAAAGAAATATGTTTCAGTTTTTACAGGCTTCTAAAGAATTTCGTATTATAGATTTTGTAGCTTTACCACTTATGTTGTAGGACATACTCTGCTCTGTAATACATTATTGCAGATTCACTAAATTATTCACATTTGGCTTCCACAATAAGTGTATTTTCAACTGATTTGTACCATGTGTAACTGAGAGGAGATTTGGCAATGTATGAGAGTTAAAATCGGAAGATCTTTCCTAGCATCTTAAAAATAAATACCTGAGAATGGTGTCTAAACTTGTGTTAGGTAAATCTCTTTTTTTTCCTGTTAAAAAACCAAATCCATCATAAAGAAGAGATCTCATTTAATAAAAAAGCAATCATCTACATTTTTGCTTCATGTTGCATCACTTTTCTTGTTTTCTCAGCTACCTTTTAGTCAGTTTTCTTTATTATCATTAAAAATTGTTGTACGACAGCAGGCTCCAGTTGTCTTGTGGTTTCTGCAGTAAGCTTAATTAAATTAGTATTCACACTATCTATGAACTCTTAAGAAATTCCTTAAATTTAGCCACCAAACACAGCAGTGATTTTCAATATGTAACCTGTTAACTGTGACAATAACACTGAAACTGTCACTGGAGTGGGGAAAAAATCTCATCTTCTTCCTCAACCCCAAGACACATACAGTAAATCGATTAAAAACTGTCTAGATTTTAGCCCTCATGTAATTGCAAAGAGGTAACCATAAATTAAAGTGTTGTTTCTGGTGAGAAGTCCGCTTCCCTTCCTCCAGACAAATGTTTAATAATTATCCTGAAAGAAAGCATGACATAATCACCTGATAGTTTGCTGGTGCCAAATCACTTGGGAGAATGTTAAATAATAAAGATAAATTAATGACACAGAGCAGTCTGGATCATTGGATGAACTGCAACACATCTGTGTTGCTGCTTGCAGTGTTGTAAGAGCAATACAAGAACAATTCATTCCAGGCAGTTGAGTTTATTCTGAAAATAGTCTCCAAAAAGCACTTGGTGTTGTTTGGTGGAATTTAATTCTAGAATGACTGTGTTGAAAAGGTAAGTTCAGTCCTTTGATCTGGGAGTATCTCGGGTGGTTGTGAAAGAGGTTGTGCTGCTGCTCTGCTAGTTACCTGTGAAACTCGTCTTGGAATAGTGTAGTTCTGTGGTACCTATTTACTGTCACTAGGATTTTTAATGTAGACCCAGTTTACAGTGTTAAAAAGTTTAAGAGTTACTAAGGAATGGAAGCCTTTTGTAATGGCTGTCTTCATGGTGTGGTGAAATGTTCTTGCCCTTGTAGAACAGAAGCAAACGTGAGCTTGTTCAGTGGGGAGGAGGAGCTTTCTCTGGGAACTGACCTAACAAAGGTGGTGTGTAATTGTCAAGCTGAGGGTGGTGAAACAGTAAGGGGAAGGAAGCACATGGAGGTAGAGTGAAGCTCTAGACAGTGTTTGGATAAAGATGGTGTACAGATCTGCAGAAAGGTCAAGTTAGCTATTTATTCTAAAGAATATCAAGAACATGAAGATCATCATTATTTCCAGGGTCTTTTTAACCTTTTATGCCTGGAGTCTGGAAGAACACAACTTTCATAATCTTTGTAAATAAATACATTGCTGCCAAAACCTGACTTAATTGTTGGTTTTACCTCCCAGCTGAAAGAATTTACTCAATTACAAATCTTGGAGGATGGCTTAGATCAAAAAGGCTCCAGGGTACTCTTGTTGAACTGCAGCTTTTTGGCTTAAACCAGACTTAGACCATTCTGGCAGCTTGTGGTGACCAGGGAACTGGGCTGGTGGCTGATTAGAATGGTCTTTTCTAGTTGTAAACTTAGTGGAGAGTTTTCATAGGAAACAGGTTTTTATTGGAAAATGTTGATTTGTCAAACAGAGACTTTCTATGGAAGCCCAGGCAGTAGGTCTAGTGGGTTGTTTGGACGATGGGTGGAACTTCTGATCAAAGATGAGGAAAGCCTTCAGGCCCTGTGAGGCCACATTCTCCCGGTGCAGTTTTGGTTTGGGCCTTGGTCTCTCACTCTTGGGTACACCTGGATGAACAGACTATTGAATGGTCTGTGGAGGGGCTTTCTCACTCTCTGCTGTTGGTTTTATTTCACTTGTTAGAAGCATCTTGATACTAAATCAGGGTGTGGACTTGAACCGGGGGTTTCTGTAATGTCCTGTCTGCTGGATTATTGTAAAAGAATCCACAAAAAGATTTTGGGCACTGTGTTTTTCACCAAAAATACTAGCTCCTGGGTCAAAAGGGGGTTCTGGTCAAAACAAAGGTCAAAACAAGCTTTTTGATTTTCATGCTTCAGCTGGAGGGGAGAGCTGTCACCGTCCTCACTTAGATTCTTGTTTCCAAGCAGGAATAAGTGTGTTCTCCAGCAGTTCTCAAGGAAGGGCAGTACCACAAGATGATAATGATTGCACTGTAGTTGAAGAGCAGACAAGGAGCCTAACTCAGTGCCTAAAGATACTTATGGAGGGTTGCTACAGACAAGGAGCATAACTCCATCAGTGCCTAAAGATACTTATGGAGGGTTGCTTATAGTAACAGGGTTACTTATAACCCTGTTTTTCAACCATGTGATACCAACTACTGGGATAAGTCCTTAATCAGAATATTAGTTGTATTTATGTCATGAAGGCTTAACTCCAACAGTGTCCTGGGGAAAGTGGTGCTGAGGAATCAAAAGAAGAAAAAAAAAACCCAAAAAGCTTATCGAGTTTCATTCTGTATCCATCCATATAAAATGCAGGCCTTAAAACTTCTGGCAATATGCCAGGATGTAACTGACAAATTTAATTGTACATTTAGTATAAATAGCAGAGAAAACTGCTACATTTGGTTGCATTTCTACCCGCCTCCCAGCCTCTGGAAAAAAAAGAGTAAATTTTAGTGTTGATAAATACCAGTTGACTAATGATAAACATTAATTATTATGTCATTTGAAATATTAGAAGCAAAATAGATGAGACCACTGGTTACGGCAGGAGTGATTTGGTATCAGAAACAAATTACTGGAGAGGGAAATGCCTCCTCATTATGTATATATGAAAAGTATTAGTTTTCCTTCTAGTACAGTGAATTTAATATTTATCTGCCTTGATTTTTGAAAGCAAATTTCTAAAATTTTGGAAGGGGACTATTTTAGTCCATTCCCTGTGCTTTGAATTTGAACCTTTGGAGGGGTTTTGTTTTAATAAATATGAGGTGAAGTGTGTTTCTCTGCTCCCACTGAGGCTGATGAGTAATCAAATGAACAGGAACACTTCATCAGGCTGGCATTTTATAGTATGTTCATTTTTTTTCTACTTTGCATTATCAGTCTGCTGAAAGAATCATGATGCAGGAGGCCAAGACAGAGCTGTCCTGACTGCACTGGATTTTAAGCTGATTTCTCCATTATCTGTCTGTTCTTCTTATTCATGCTGGAGATGAGATGGATGTTAGCATCGTCTGGGGCTCATAGTGCATACAGCAGTAGGTGATTTTCCAAAATGGCTTTGATGCTATATTGGTTTAAAGGTTGGTTAGAGCAGCTTGTTAGGTAACCTGTGGACATGGTGAGGGCAGCTAGGAATTAAGGACAAAACACAGACTGCAGTGGGGTTTAAAGATGTACACTGCAGATTTCTTCAGTACAGCCAGACTGCTCTGTGCCGTGGGTATTGTAAAAAGTAGCACTTCATGGTCAGTGTGGAGGTTGTCAGTGGAAGCACCAGATACTGTGCAATGTTGTCTGTGCCAGCACTAGGTATTGTTTGAATCTCTAGATCTCAAAAACTACATATACAGAGAAAGTTAGGATTGTATAATCACTTGGATTTTTCTTTGGTGATATTATTGCATAATGTCATTGAGAGTGGGTGACTTTAGGTGTAGACAAGGTTATTTTTTGACTCTGGAAAACACTAACCAAACACCAGGGACTCCTATGGGTACTTAGGGGTGTTTTACTTCAATGAGCAAAGGAATAATGCATAAGAATTCTTAGAAAACTTAAAGGGATCCAGGTCGCCACAGTGAGTTATTAGATCATTGGTTAATGTAGGATTGTCCTAAGTTATCCTTAAAATTATCTTTCAGTTCAGTCCAGGTATCAAAACCTGGGGAGGCAAGTGTATTTCCTGGGGAGAAATTAAATGGATTGAGGTGTCTTTAAAGTTTGGCTTTTCCTCTTAAAACAAAGCCCTGAATCAGAGTGGTTGAAGTTGGAAGGAGCCTCTGGAGGTCACCAGCTCAAGCAGGGCCACCTAGATAAGGTTGCCCAGTACCGTCTCCAGATGGCTTTTGATGTCTCCAAGGATACAGAATCTACAAGCTCTGTGGACAGCCTGTGCCAGTGTTTGGTCACCCTGATAGTAAAAAAAGTGTTTCCTGATGTTCAGACAGAGCCTTTTGTGTTTCAGCTTGTGCCTGTTGCCTCTGGTCCTGTCACTGGGCACAAATGGGAAGAGCCGGGCACCTTCCTCTTTGCACCCTCCCTTCAGCTCTTTCTGTATGTTACAGGAACTCCCCGAGTTTTTTTTCTCCAGGTAGAACAGTCCCAGCTCTCTCAGCCTTTCCTCATAGCAGAGATAACATTCCCATCTATTAATCATCCCTGTCACCCTTCATTGGACCTGCTTGAGTATGTCCATGTACTGAGGAGCCCTGAACGGGACACGGTACTCCAGGTGTGGCCTCACCAGTGCTGAGCAGAGGGGAAGGGTGACCTCCCTCGACCTCCTGGCAGCAACACTCCTCTTAATGCAGGCCATTAGCCCTGCCTGTGGCCAGGGCACATTGCTGGCACACCACTTTCTCCTTGAAAGAAAGGAAAATGAAGTGACTCATTTTGAGAAACAAACACCTGAAGTACACCTATTGAGAACAGGTGTATTGAGGGTGGAGATTTTGTTGAAAGGATATCCTTGTTTGACTGCAAGTATTTTTGAATATTCCCTGTCCTACAGTCCTATCTGATCCGTTCTAAAGTGTACACAATTGAAACAACATTTGTTGCTCTTTAGCAGTATTTGTCAAAGTGTGCTATTTGTCAGGAGTGGATTAGCAAGGTCTACAGAGAGTTTCTGTGGCAGGGAAGCATCTGAACTTGCCCTTCAACATATTTTCCAAGTCATCTTTATTGGGCCTCCAGACCTGAAGATATTTTGATTCATTTGCAGAGGATTATAGCATAGGTACTGGCTGAATGCTGTAAACGTGTGCGATATATAAACCCTTCTTCCTGCCAGAGGGAAGTGCTGGCAGGGGCTGCAGGTAGGAGTTAATTGTTTTCCTTGCACTAATGCCAAAGTGTTTGGCTTTCTGCAAAAGAGGCACCATCTGAAATCCCACAGAAGAATAATTAAGTTTAACAAACTGCAGTGGAAGGTTGGCGGAAGGGGAGAGGAGGAAAAAGCTGTAGTGGTTGACATAGACTGGAATGCTTCTGGTGGGAAGATCTATTTGAAGAAGATTCCACTTTGGCTGTGGTTATAGTATTGTGTTACTTATCTCCTTGAGTCTGTCCTGAGCGACTGCTCCAAAATAGAAGACTGCTATCTGGGTTTCTGTCACGTGTTGTAGTATGCATTAGCTACTCCATTAAAAAAACCCCATTATTCTATCATGCCTGAATGGTTATCCACATGGTTAATTTAACATACACATGCTTTGTGTATGTTAAATACCTATCCTTGGCTCAGAATTGCAACATTTTAGCAGTGTTATTGAAACTGGAACTGTAGATATTATTTCTTTTACAAATCTCCATCTATTAGTGTTTCTTGGTTACTTTGCATGTCCTTTGTGTTTGATTTCTCATTAATTTAGATCTTGTGTTTGATTTCTACTTCATTTATACCTTATTCCTATTGGACTGATACAATTCTGGAATTGGATTTGTATTTTGTTTTTAAAAGTAATAACAGAATCAAATCAGCTGTGCCTTTACAACTTGTTTTCTTTCAGAACTAAAGACAGTATGTATCATGCACTGACTTATGCCACCATATTGGAAATGCAAGCTATGATGACGTTTGATCCTCAGGACATACTGAATGCAGGAAACACAATGAAAGAAGCTCAAGCCACCTGTCAAAAGTAAGTGTGGAGCCACTGAGTGAATAAATAGTCCATTCATGGGAAAGTTTTGAAAGACATGCAGGTTAAAAAAGGACTTGTAATTTCATAGAAATCATAGGAAAACTGAGGTTAGAAGGTCATCTAGTCCAGCCTCCTGCTCAAAGGAGGGTCAGTTACGATGTCAGACCACATAACTTAAGGTTTTCAGCAGTCTAGTCTTGAAAACTTCAGTTTACTGCAACATTTGATTTTTCTTGTCAATTAGATTTTTGTCCTGTCTGTAGCCCTGGTTCTGCAGTGTCTGGAAGTTATTTACCCCTTACAAACACTGCAGAATCTTCCTGTGTGGTTGATGGTTTTACTGTAGCTGGCTGTCTTTGACTCAGCTGTGCTCCCACTTCTGCATGCACCTGCACACATACACACACCCCCACAAAAAATAAACCAAAAAGCCCCAGTATCCCCTTCCTTCATCAAGACAGATTTCTGCACATGAAGGGTAAAAGACAGATCCTGGGAGGACCATGTTGACTTAAGTTCTCTATGGAATATACTGAAGTTTGTCTATGTGGTAAGATGACAGAGGGTTGGTGAGCACTAGAGGTATGTTAGTGACTGTATAGGTGGCCAGCTGAAAGATACCATTATCTGTTGTTGATGCTTCATGTTCAGAGTGACCAAACTGACTTTTCTGCAGATTTAGGAAGAAATCTACAGTAGCTGATTCTATCAACAACCTTGTGCATAGACAAAGCCTTGAACACTTTACTGAAGGTAACATTGTCTCTAACATATGTAAATTTTTTTTCCTGTTTTTTTTTTTTAATTTTTCTGCAATTTGAATTCTGTAGAATTGTTCACCCAACACGTTTTTGCAGATTGTGAGTTCACTGACAAAATCGCAGATTTGGTATTGGCTGGATCATTGTTTTGGCAATTGCTGTGTCATCACATCCAAAATCAGTTTTTGTTGATTGCTAACTCAGCATTTCCAAAAATTGCTGGGTAAAGAAATTCCTAGAAAGAAGTATTGAAATGCATAGAAATGTTCTAGATCCTGGAATTCCTGGAAAGCACCAGAGAAATTCCTGAAAAGTTTCTGTAGCTGTGTAATTTCTGTTTGGAGTTACTTCAGTAGTCTAGAACTGAAACACTGCAGCAAATCTGGAAAAGATTTTTCTCAGTTTGAGCTTTGTGATCTTATTCCTATATTAACAGGCTAAGTGGTTTTAATTACTTTTTGTCTGATTGATTTGTTTTCGTTCCTGCTCCGTGTGACTAGAGGAAATCCATGCAGAAATTTGCTATGCTGAATGTTTACTTCAGAGAGCAGCACTCACATTCCTCCAGGTATGGATTCCTGCGTGACTCTTCGGGGAAAAAAAAGTACACGCTATACAGGTTTGTTTTCTTAAAATTAATGAAATGGTAGAAGCCCCTAGTTTGACCTAATGGTGTAAGACACTTTCATCTGGATTAAATCTGCATTTTATCTGGATTATCTGCTGATGAGACAGTAGACTGTTCTGTTATCCCTCATGATTATCTAAACATGCTTATCTCAATACACATAGCACTGAGTCCCCTGTGACGCCCTTCTCCAGTCCTTTTGGATGTGTGACATATGACCACAGTAGGCACTGATTTTCAAATACTGTGTGTTGGGATATCAGCTTAAAAAAAGGGAAAGAAAAAAAGAGATGATCATTGCAGGTGTGCTGGAATGCAAGCAAGGTTTTTGTTTCAGTCTTTCCCAAGACTGCTTTCTCACTTGTTTGCTCTTGAACAGCTATTTCAGTCTGCATAGCTATTGCGCTCCACACGTGCTTTTTGCTAAACAGTGCTGCCTGTTTTTAAAAGAAGGGGAGCTCTCCCTCTTTGAATTTTATCTGTCTATATGAGTGAAGCTTGCTTTGTTCGATGGATCTACATTAGCAATACTTACCTGAGCTCCAGCTTGCAATTTAAATTGTTAATCATAGTAGGAATAACTGATTTTTCTTCTTGATTTGGCTGTACTTGCTGTATGACAGTGGGCCTCTTCATCTATGCAGAGGGGATAATAAAAGTCACATTCAGAAAGGGCTTCTGCTTCTTGGCTCAATGCTGACAGAGAATGAAATGCAGGTGGTGATTTTATAGTGTTTGGGAGCTGCCATGTAGGCTCTAATTTATGTTGCTTATGATAGTTTATGAGCCGTGTAACGTTTTTCAGTGATCTGCCATGCCCCTCTGCTAGAAACTGTTGCTTCGTAGAAAAACAGGTAGTCAGAGTAGCTTCTTCTGAAGGTTTTTAGAGTGCTGATGTGGGTGACTTTCTGGTAAGATGCTGGACTTTGAAATGGCCAAGTGTAGCCACCTATTTCCGTATTCCTG